TTATTTGATATTTCTCTTTTAATCAGTAATGTTTTAATCACTAATTAATTAAGCTATTTACTTCTCTATTTATTCACCGCGGAGTTATTTAGTTACTTGAACGCAATTTATCTCCTAACGAGCGACGGAAGCGCTGCTGTCCGATCCTGCCCCCCGCGCCCCTCCCCACCCCCGGGGTGGAAATCTCCGAGAATTATTCAAAAGAAAATATTATTCCCAGTCTTTGTTGGCCATTCTTCGCGCGCATCAAAAGAATCGCTAACTATTTCACTTCTGTGCTCTGCTATTCTTTGTAAAGCCTCACTCCAATGCACTGAAAGATGCAATAGCAAATATAACTGTTAAGATAAATAATTATGGAAACTGAAAACGTTAAGAAGCTTTAGAAATAAACCCTTTCAAATGAACGCTCTCCATTTTAAGGCAAACAAAATTAAGTTTAAACTATAATTTTTTTGTTCTAAATATCATGAAAATCTTAAGATTTTTTTCAATTGCCACTTACAAAGTCAATGTTTAAAAAAAAACTTTCAAGAAACTGGTAAACGAAGCAAGAGGAATAGCATTTAAGAACGTTAGATATATGCCACATCAGCATGGTTGAAACACCGCCCGCGCTGCGGGGCCAAATTGTGGCCGCTATGTAATACCTACATACGAATATCAAAACAGCCGCTTAGTATTTTATAATATCAAATTTTAACTGTAATACAAATAGAAAGACTGGTTAAATGGTTGTCCTGTGTTTTAGAGTATGGTGCCGCTTTTGGCCGTATTGCATAGTACTATTGAAGTGCTCCGCACTGCTGGCGCGCCGCGCCGCCCGTGTGGCATATCTTTTACAACGTCCCAATGCTCACGGCGTTGGAGTGGAAAATGAAAAAATCAGAAACAGTAAACTCGGCAGTTTGTCGCAAAAGCAAAGCGAGAAAAAATACTACTTTTCAAAAAGGAAAGAAAGCGTCCTACTAATTGCGTCAACTTCATTAAAATCGTCGATTCGTGACGCTTTTGAAACTTCGTGAAAAGGATTTATTCTTTTAAAGTGACACAATTCCTGTGCTAACGAGCGACCATCTGTCTGAGGACTCTCGCCTTTCCTTGCGACTTCCATAAACTTTTCAAATCATATTTTTTCTTCTTTACTCCTTAAAGTTATATTTCTACAGATTTATTTCTACTCGTTACTACAAACAAAATACATTGCGCCGAACTTGGATTATTCACGTACAAGAGATTGTACTGGCCATTCCAAACAGTACACTAGTTATTATTAAAAAAAGTTGCAAGTGAAAAAGTTGACAATCGCGCTAGAAAGAAAACGAATAGTTATTTTGTAATTGTGAAGTAGCTAATTCCGTGTTTCGTCTGTCACGAAAATTAATATTTTTAAACAGCACACATGTTTGACTAAACCATCGCACAACAGTCCTGCGATTGTCGATTGTTTCGCAGCCAATGCAACTGTTTAGTTACACAAGTAAAAATCGAGTAGTGTAACTTTGTATAAGCTCGTAGGAAGCAAAGCGGACTAAACAGTTGTGCGATGGTTTAGTCAAACTGCCGTCCAGTTAGGTATGCACAGGGTCTTAGGCTAAAATCTTAGTGGCATAAGATTGAATTGTATTCACTGGTAAAGTGAATGTCCACTCATTAATATTACTGCAGTAAATTCACACTTTTCTCCACTTTACGAGGGGTCCTGTTATCTGCATACACAGGAGGGACTGCGCCCCTTCACATTTTACTGACGCAATAAACTTGGCAAAGATAAAATTATTTCTTATACATAAAAGACCTTAAGCTTACAAATCCCACGTACAGTCATCAAAATAAACGTAACGTTTCAACTAAGCTCGTAAAATCTTTGTTTTCTTTTTGTAAGATTTTTTTGTGGAAATATTAACACTCTGTATATCGAAGTTTTTCATAGTTGAATATTATTTATTCATTAGTTTACTAGCTTTTTCCTGTGACTTCGTCCGCCCGGCATAAAAAAACTAGCATAAAATGTGATCTATGTCACTTAGTGATAATTTAGTTTTTTAATTGTGGAAGAATTTTTTAATGGGTTTGATAGTTTTTTGAATTTATTTGATAGATACAAAAACACACACATTTTTCTCTTTACTAGTAGTATATTTACATGTCGACAACACTTTTGAAACTGTTTGGTAAACTTCTCTTCCAATTTCGTTGATTAAAACCAGAAATAAAATAATAATAAAACCAAAAATAAAAATATCTCTCCGCCTTGTTCATTGAATTGTTAAGAAATAAATTTATTTTACAAGCTTCTGTCAATCGTAAAATATATCGAGATTCGTGAGAACCTTATCGAAGTTTCTGATACATAAATTATAATAGAAAATATTGGAATAAGGGCTTATTTATTACGGGCCATATCTAATGCAAATAACAACATGCTTCAAACATACTATTTACTATTATTAACTTCAACAAAGCGGTAATTTGCAGTCATTTTTTATAACTGTGTTTTTCTTATAAACAACGTCAATACATGTCTAATCTTTATTCTGTCTATATTTCGTACAGACACTCAATTTAAGTATATATATATATATAGATTTGAAAGTTACACCGCTTTTCCACTATCCCGACTGACGACGAGCGCATTTCGGTGAGCATTACATAACTTCCGCTAGTGCAAAAGTAACTACCAGAGAAACAGCAGCCTTAGTGACGTCACAAAAGGTATGAATTCACAAGACAGTAACTGGCACGTATCTGTGATTGTCATGTTATAGTGACTACTGGCATGTGTATTCCTGGTGTAACACGAGCGTAACAAGCAATAATCGGAGCTGGATGTGGCCACAAAATAAATTAACATGATTTTAACGCGATTCGCCACGAGTGCAATTCGCTTTACTTAATCATTGATTTTATTACTCCATGTGACAAGCTGAGCGACAATTATGACATGTTTAATTTTTACTTTATTGTTTCTAAAAATTAAATAATTTTTTTCCCTTTTAAAGTGTACAAACAGGTTATAATCTATCTAACCTGTAGTCTATTGATGTAAAGCGGTTCAAGCATAGATAGACTTAAACCATTATCATTTACAACCAAAGAAATACCACAAGACCTGACTGGGTAGGAAATTAATGTCCTCGACTATGTCTACTAAGAGTATATACCTTCACATAATGCAGTCACGTAATAGATCTTCCTTTACCTTGTGTGTCTTGATTACACTGTGGCATTCTCCTACAATATACGGCTACATTTCCTATAGTAAATCTCTATACGCGGTGTAAACACAGACGTGTCCATAACAATGCCAACGCAGGGGAAATTGAAATGATAACCGCTATACATCGCTCCAACATATCGTGTTACAAATCTAATTGAATAGTTTAGAGTTGCATCATGTTGTTTTGGCGACAGATATATAAAACGTGATTTTGTAGAATGTTTTCCATTCGAATCTTATCTATCATCTATACTATTATAATAAAAGCGTAAACACACACTTCTTTGTTGCCTAAGATGTCAGCAATTACAGTCTATTTTTAAATAATTCTCTTTTTAATAAAAAGCCATACGCTTACGTTACGCTTTAGGCTATATATTTTAACACCATTAAACTTAGGAGGTAAATATATTGGATAAAAACCCTAATGTGGGAAAGAGACCATAAGTTGCTGCCAACATCAAGGAGGCAAGGTTGTCATTATGTCATGACATTTTGACATTTGCAATTGATAGTTTGACACATGTAAACAATATAATAAATTTTTCATAATTTTATGCGGATGAAGTCGCACGGGAACATCAGTAGGGATATAAATTAAAATCTATTAATTTCTATCACAATCAGATTTTATATTTTACTAAACGTTAATCATCACCAGCTCACTATACGTCCCCACCGAGGAGCCCGGAGCCTACCCTAAGTTAGGGTGACTAGGCCATAGTCAACAACGCTGGTCCACTGCGGGTTGGTTGACTTTACACATATCTTTGAATTTCTTCTCCGATATGTTGCATCACAATGGTTTCCTTCACCGTAAGAACGTCGGGTAAATTATGTACATATGAAAATTCTAAAAATCGAAAATCACATTGGTACAGCGGGATTCGAACCCAAGACCTGTAGATTACAAGTCAAGTGCTTAAACCACTGAGCCACCGACGATCTTTAAACGTTACGGTAGCACAAATCTATAAAATTTTGTCGATATTATAAAAGCTTTCTCGTTAATTTTTGTGTTTTACCTGTTTCCAAGGACTTCGATCGCGCAGAATTTAAAATGAAATTTCGCAAGCCTATGTGTGCCCAAACTATGTTCTACATATAAGTATCGAAATCAAATTTTCGCATTTATAATATAAATATGAAATTATGATAAGAGACTGCGCACACCTGAAACTAAACTATCGCCCGACTGTTTAGTCTTGCTTTGATTCCTATGTATGGAGGTCACTACTCGATTGTTACTTGTGCCACTAAACATTTGAATTAGCTGCGAAACAATCGACAATCGCATAACAGTTGTGCGATTGTTTAGTAAAGGTGTGCGCCCGGTCTTATCGTTAATCTATCCAGCATTCCTTTACCTTATTTCTATGTTAAAGTAGTCTTATTTGAACCTAGATTCTAAATTCTTACTTACTATCGCAAGTCCTCCATCATTGTACTAATGTGGACTTGTAAATAGTTTTGTGAGTGTGTTTACTGCAATTCCCACCACGACTGATTGTGGAGCGTGAACTGCTGATCGGATACGGTTTCAGTTATCAAGATTAGTGCAGGGCTGTTACATATTCCAAAGTACAAAGGTACTAAGTTTATTTAAGATAAAAGCCAATGTTATTTAGCACTTGTAATACGTTTTCCTGGTTCCTTTAAATATAATTCAGATTTTACATTGTACAGATTAATTTTATTCCTTTTTTAATTCCCAGGCGAATTATTTATTTTATCGTATTTTTAGATGTTGTGGTAACCCTATTTAATTTGCATGTATGACATGTATGGTGTAATGGAACACATTCAGTTCGGTGGATTCGCGAGTCGTTAGTCATGTGTATACGCATTTATATATTCCTCTGTTTAGTTACGCTGGTTTGTTGCGAACAAAATGGTTAGTAAAACATTATTTTTACTATGGTAAGTGTCTAGGTTGTACAAACTGGTTACTTTGGTGACGTGAGTGTACATCATTAAAAAGAATGAATTCAATTTTATAAAAACATATTTCATTTGTTTTTTGCCACACTATTAAATTCATGTATCGTCAGAGAATTTGTTAGTGGCCTGTCTTAAAAGAACAATCGTTTTGTACACATTGTTAAAACGTGTTTTGAAATGTTATGACAAAAAAGGTCGGTCAGTACACGGTTAATTGCCTTTTATTATAACTTGTCGATTACGCGATTCACTGCTACCTAATTGGTTTTATAAATTTTCTTCAAATGGAACACCGCGAAATTCGTGTACCAACTAAGATCTGATTTCCCTGCGCTTTATGTTTATCTTTTTCAATTTGCAGTAACAGAATATAGAGGTCTGTTAACATCAGACTGCACTAAAGCGTACTTCCGCATGTACGTGACACGGCGCGTGCCGCCCAGGAATTACTTCTACGTTCACGAAACACTTGACCGCGAACAATTGATCGGAGAAAACACACCGAACTCAAATAACACAGACGTAGATGTGAGTATAATCTTAAGAGCGTAATAAAACAATACAACGTTGTCACATCTCGTTTCATTGTTCTGTTAGAAAATACATGGTTATGCTTGCCGGTTCATATAAGTTGTCAATCTGTGTTTAAAATGATTTTTTTTCTGACAAAATGCAGGTAAAGTTCCGCATAGTGGGTGGTAAGATAGTGTCCATTACGGAGGTGCCGTACCAAGTCCTCTACGGACGGTACTGCGGGGGCAGTCTGATCGCGCCGCAATGGGTCATCACAGCAGCACATTGTAAGTAAGTATAGCACGCTACCCTTTATAATAACAATCTTATTTCTTTTATTACTTACTAACGCCTTTGTTTATCATCAATAAACTAACACTTGATTGTGTATTTCAGGGACAGAGAAACATTCATCTTGGCGGGGTCGACGCAGCGCAGCCGCGCGCAGAAGTACCGCATCTGTGCACATTTCATCCACCCGCTGTGGAACTCGACAGCAGGTATCAGCCATGACTACGACTATCAGCTGGTGCTGTTGGAGACACCAGTGCCGGTGACCCCCAGCTCGCGGCCTATCGCTATCGGCGGCCTTGAAGACATCCGCCCTGGGAATATGCTCGCCATCAGCGGCTGGGGACATCTACAGTTTAAGGTTAGTAATCAAGGAATTTGGAAATTTTTAAAATCAAAAGTTCAGTCGTTTGAATGTGGAACACCGCGGATTTCCACTACTGTACATAGTTTATGATAAAAGTTGTCAAAGAATTAAATTAGCCTACCACTTAAAATCGAGTATCATACTAAAATTAGAGCATTTGTGTGTTATGGCATATTTCAAATGTCTTTCCACTGGGTAGGATATAAATGTCCATGACTGTATTCTGTTGTACTCCTCGATAGTTACTTAGATAATTACTTCCTGTCAATATCCAATATGTTGAATCAGAAAAGCCGTATGCAAGATTTAGTGCGTCGCGTGTACGTGCCGGTGATGGACGACGAGGAATGCCGCGCGCTGCCACACGGCTACTTCCAGAATATTACTTCGCGCATGTTCTGCGCCGGATACCTCGATGGTGCCAAGGACTCCTGTCAGGTATCCTTTTTAAACATTTTTACCGTTGTTTCCCAATTGTCCTATCGTCTTAAGCAAGGCCTAGCCTGGTCTGAAAAGTCTGTATGTAAAAATGTCGATGTTAACTTGACTCTTTTTTGTCAAGGCCAAAAACTGGTTTACATTTGGCTAGTAACACAGGTCTGTATGTGGTCACTGGCACCAGTTAGTGTTTACATTATGCCAGTTATATGCCAGCAGTGATTTTGAACTCAACTAGTCTACTTTACTGGCATAACACCTACATTGGGTTGCGCCGAAGTAAAGCGTCTTTATTTAGAGTGCGCACACCTTTGAATAAATAACAGTTTAGTCTCGCATTGATTCCTATGACCTTATATGGACATGCCCAAACTATTCGATTTTCAATGCAACTAAACAGTTGATTTGGCGAAACAATCGACAAACGCACAGTTGTGAGATAGTTTAGTTAAAGGTGTGCGTGTGCTCTTAGGAATTATAATTGCAGGGGGATTCCGGCGGGCCCGCTGTAATCAATGGTAAGCTGGTTGGCATCGTGTCGTTCGGTGTGAGCTGTGCGGCGCCGCGCCAGCCCGGCGTCTACAGCAAGGTGCCTGTTGTTCGAGACTGGATACGCGCAGTCACAGCACTACCGCTTTGAATGGTCAATACGCTAGGGATCAATATTTTATCATTATAATAGATCTGAACATTCTACTCTGTTTAATTAAAAATTATTCGATCGTTCTCTAAACAATACAGATGCGGTAAAATAGATTTATAAATAACTAATTGTAGCTCGCTGCTTTGTCCGCGTGAAATTAAAAATAAATAGTAAGTAATATACCATATGTTATTCACAGATAAATTACCTTTCTAAGGGTGAAAGAATTTTTATAATCGGCCCAGTAATTTTTGAGTTATATCAATACATACAAAAATACAAAAAAGCAAATCTTTTCTCTTTATAACATTAGTTTAGATGTGTATTAAATCTTTAGTTAAAAATACCCTAGATAAAAGATAGAATGTCAATTTCGACGTGTACACAAATCTACATTAATTGAATGCTTCTTTTAATAAAATAAATAATTATTTAACAAAACTAAGTGATGTTTCGTTTTATTCATTTTTTGTTAATTTATATTTTCCATTAGAACATTGCAAAATTGTAAATATTTATTATAAACGTAAGATGATTCTGATAAATGTTTAATATGTGTTCTTTGATCTGTCACCTTAATAAAATGCATTTTTGTTACTTTTGTGTATGTTAAAATAAGACTTCTTATCAAAGGTTTTAATTAATTAAAAATACTGTTACTGTTTTTACTGCCTTAATGCAAATTGAGAACACCAGTAAAGAGGTTTGTAGCCATACATATTCAACTAAGTTATTATCTTATTCTGGCATTTCTCAAGTTATCTGTTCGTCTCGAGGCGTCGAGTGCGAGTAACTAAGCCCCTTGGCAGGCTGCCAACACTAACGGAGCCTTCGCTGTATTTCCCTCAGTGAATCAGAAGGGATTTGCACGCGAAGTGGGATACACGTCCGCAACACATGACGAATAACGAAATCAACAGAAATTCTCTCTCAAGGTATTTAAACAATCAACATTGAATACAATAGCAATATCCTTGCTCTTATATATCCAAATGTTTATTAAACATATTGATAAATAAGGGCGCATACTGTTGTCTAAATTGTCGAACAACAGTGGTGCGATTGTCAATTATTTCGCAGTCAATTCAACTATTTAGTTGCATAACTAACCTAAGAGTGCGTACCTCCATATAAGCTCATAGAAACCAAAGCGCGACTAAATAGTTGTGTCATTAAGTTTCGGGTTTGCGAACGCTCTTCAAACTGACGTACTTGTATCAATGTAGAGGAACGAGATATGTCGACCACGCCAAATAAAAGTCCATGGTCTCTGGAATCCCCTTTGGGTTATAGTCGTCAGTGTTGCGATCAAATATCGATCGACATTCAGCTTGCTTAGGTATCAAACAAGGATTTCCCAAATCCATGAATATTTGAAGATGTTATTATTAAGGATTTCTGTGTGGCATCGACAGGCTGTCGGAGTCAATTCGCAGCAAACATTTGTGTGCCAGCAAGACGATAGACTGAATTATTTATAGAGCCGCGGAGGGACGTTGAGCGCACACTAATGTTCTCTGAGACCCCCCTGTTTCAATTATTCTAACCTAATGGATTCCGCTGGATCCACTTTTTACTATTCTTTCATAAACGTACAGGTTTTGCTTTTATTGCTAGAGTGAAAGTGAAGTGAAAAAATTAACGACATCGTTCTTCACAAACTAAAACTGAATTTTAGTCTGATTTTAAACTATCTTATTTACTAGTAAGACGTAATTTATTCAGTTAAGTGTATGTTTATTTTATACTATTATAATAAAGCGTAAACACACACTTCTTTGTTGCATTGGAATGCATTTGCGTATGCGGATATCTTTAAAAGTCCCTCCACTGTTTCATTGAATTCAGGCGGCTGCAGGGTAACACTATTGTATGTACTGAAATAACTTAAAAACTACTGGACCGATTTTCTTCACTTTCCGAATATCTTCACCATTAAAAGCTACGTTATCGCGTGGACGAAGTCGCAAGCAACAGCTAGTATAAAATAATATAGAAACATGAAATGTTTTTACTAATTTTAATGAGCTTTAAAAGCGTCGAGAGACTGAGAATTCCCTTTTTAATTTAAATAAAGATCTCCCTTACCTTAGACGACAATAATTCATAAAACAAAGCTCCGCCCGAAGAATCCCCGCCTTTAGAAAGTTTTAATTTACAGTCGGCTATGATTTTGCATCACAAAAGTTAAAAGTTCGTTAGATCCGTGATATCTTTCGGTGTCGCTGGACTCGCGCTGTAAAGATAATGAACTTATTATCAACTTAAATGTGTCTTTAAATTAACTTAGCGGTGACTCAATGTCTTACAAAACCGACTAAAACGGCGTATTTTGTGAGTGTATTACATTTGTGTAACTCGATTCCAATGCTAAAAATTGGAAAACATTCGTTGTAAATCAACCTAGGTACCTATTTGCTATTTAAAATTTTACGTTTATATTTTATAGGAATTAGAGAAATTTCTTTAAATAAGGATTATTGAGACAAGGAATGTATCGAACCACTAGAATGTTTTAAATCACACGCACTATTACCTAAAAAAGTAGCTTATTTTTCTAGTTTTTAAGGCGTCATCAAACCTGAACCAATTTAACGGTCGCCGCCTAAATCAACAACTCGGCAAATTGGCCTCCTAACAAAAGAAAAACAGACAAACGCGCGGCCCCGAACAATTTATAACCTAAAGAAGCTTCGTAAACCTTGAAAATATTTACCCAAGAAAATCTTGAAGAATATAATTTCACAATGTTTTCCTTTCGCACCGCGTCACAGAATGTTTTCGTAGATATGAAACTTTGAATAAATAAAACATAACTTTAGTTCTTGGCTGCTGAATTACTATTTATTTTATCATTACCTAATGATTAATTTGTGTTAAATTGACCTAAGTTTCAACGGAATTAAACTCAAGTTAAAAAACACTAACGAATTTAAGGTGGGAAACCGGTCACAAGACTATTTTTTTCATTTAGAGTGTGCGCACATCTTTGACTAAACTATTGTATAACTGTTTAGTCTCGCTTTGATTCCAACGAGTTTACGAGGTGCACTGCTAGATTTTTGTGCAACTAAACAGTTGAATTGGCTGCAAAACAATCGACAATCGCAAAACAGTTGCTCGAAAGTTCTTAGAAAGAAAAATCAACACATAATAATTATTTTAAGCACTTTAAAAAACTATACATTAATATTTAGAATGTTCTGTTCTGTAGTATAATCTATGACGTGAGGGCTAATACGGTTTAGAGGGCAAAGGGTTATTTGCACAAGATGGGGCTGATTCCCGCCGCGTGTTGAACTTTGCCGTTTAGCTGTTTACTTTGTGATCTCTCATATTTTCTGCGCGTACGAAACGGTAATCGGATGGGCCTCGATTTGCACATACTAAGTAAGTTAAACGCTTTCCTAACTTTTATTTGGGTTCCACAAATATTTAAGTTAAATCTTTTATTGTCAAACAATGCGGGTATATTCACTAAATTATAATCTTAATGCCCGGTTTCCCATTCGTTAATGTTTATGATCTACGTAACTTAATTTTACTCCGTTGGAACAAGTCAATCTAACACTTCAGAGTCGCTAGGTAATAACGAAATAAGGAAAAACTACAGAAACCAAGCATAATACTGTTAAAGTGGCAAAATGTTACAATTGAATCTATGATCAAAAATTGCTTTGGATTGTCAAAATCTAAACCTTATACTAATGTTAGTCCCTTTCCCTTTCCACCCTTTACTTAAAAGGAAAGGATGGGAAGGAAAAGTGGATTTGACGTTAGAAGAGACGCATAGGAAGGGGAAATATCCTTTTTTAGTGGGTCTCCTTCTCTGTCAATTACGGTCGCTTGTCGGTCGGTCATAATATATATAAAAAACTGTTAATCAGATTATTTTATTACTTTAGTTGTAATGACTTTAAACATTAATTTGTAGCTGGGCAGTAACTGGCATGCCTACATATATACTGGCATGTGTATTTGTCGTAAAAGGTAAGAAATAAAATACTTATGATACAAAATAACTTTATTCATCTTAATTTGCAGATAACTTACATGATATTTACACGAATCATAAAGTATAGAAAACTTAAACAATTTAGGTACAATTTTGTGACGGGTTCCAATTTTCATAATACTCAGGTTGTTTGGTGTTTTTGACAAGAAATTACAATATTATGGTGATTTATTTCTTATATGAAACTAGTTTATAAAAATTACTCTTATATTTAATAAAATTTATGTTTAAAATGGAAAATCTATCTTTAAATTGTAAAAAAATAATAACCTCAGTACAAATTTGGCAACATTTTAGCAGGACACATTAAAATGTACTGATAAATTCAATATTTACTCTTAATATCGAAAATTAATCCAATCGGCTCGTATCGTATGGTTTTTTAACAAGTTTGTCAAATTTTAAATACAAGTCAACATTAAAAATGTAAAATAACAGTAAAATAACTTTATCTTTCAACAAAATCACAGTTTCAGTTTCCTTATTCAATAACTTCACTCAAAACAATTCACTTTACACTCAAGAGATCCTTATCTTAAAGCCATAAAGTTGCTTTTTCAATATCACACAATATCAATCACAGTTATGACGTCATCGTCATTACGCTTTCCAATTTTAAAAGACAATAAAGTTCATTTTTCACATAAAACTAATTCTTAATCAAAATAGATCTTTATTCCGATAGACATAAGGTTCACTTTTTCTCATTCTTCTGTATTCCTGTCATATAAAGGCTGTCATCAGATTCATAGCCCTTCCCCTCGGTGACGTCACAGCTGTCTCTAAGGGTCTCGTCTCTGAGCGCCTGCTGCAGGATGTCCTCCAGCTGGAGACGCACGTCGCCCAGCAGCGCCCGCTGGGAGGGCTCGGAGGTCCAGCAGGACTGCATCACCTGCCAGCACTCGTCCGTAAAGTGGGGCAACCTTTCGGGACGAAGACCTGGAGGAAACATTAACTTTGCAGTAGTAAAAAAAAACAAGAAAAAGATCGAAGGCTCTAATCTAATATGAAATAGCGCCATCTTTTGGTTGCATTTTAAAACGCTATTGACTAAACTAATTTAACTGAACTGCTACATAATTTAGTATTACTTATGATTACAGTATAATCATAACGGTTTTTTTTGCCCGAAGTAATACACTATAACACTCTCAAGAAGAAATCAAATCAAATGACACGACAATCATAAAAATCGGTTTCGTAGTTTACTCTAGGCTAAAATGAAATTTACAAACATACAAACTCAAAAAAACAAACATACATGCGAAAAACATTTCCTTGCATAAACTATAAATTTACTAAATATGATTTTTCATAATGATATAAACATTACAAATTCATTTGAGAAACCTTAAAATTGGGTTAATTGTCAAAGTGTTAGTTACGGAACATACCGCTAGATGGCGTTAAAATTAAATTTTTATAAAATTAAGTTTAGCGCCATCTAACGACATTTAAATATAAATACTGAGTAATAATAGATTGTACCTCTTTTCACTTTGCTCCACAACTGCTCCTTGTTCTGGAAGTCCTCGAAGGCGGCCGGCAGTCTGATGTTGCCCGCGCACACATACCTAGGACAAAAATAAATTCTACCTTTAGGGCAACCTTTTATAGTTGCGGAAACAACTTACAAAGGACAATACTTCATTTATTATACTAATATTACAAATACAAAAGTTTAGATGGATATTTCTTTTGTTTGTAGCCTAAACTGCGAAATTTGAGACATATATAGAGGATAGTCGGAAGACATAGGCTTTTGAACCTTTATAAAAATATCCCTCGGGAACTTATTCCGGATTAGTTCCCGAGGCATAGATAATAAAGTTTTATTAACACACGAGCTGTTGCCCGCAACTTCGTCCGCGTAGTATTAGAAAACATACGAACTATATAAATTACAAATAGCTACGTATCCCTCGGGAACCAGACATTTCTCGGGGATGAAGCTTATCCCACGTGTACTCCAGACTTTGTTTTATATCTGTGCCAAATTTCAATAAGATATGTTAAACCGTTGCAGAATGATCGAGTAAATAGTAAAAAACTAAATTAATGAATCCCACAGGAACCGTAACTATTCCCGGGATAAAAAGTAGCCTATGTGTTCTTCCAGAGTATGTTCTAAATCTGTGCCAAATTTCATGGAGATCCGTTCAGCCGATTAGGCTACAAACGCTAACAAACATCCATCCATTCATCCATCCATCCATCCATCCATCTAAACTTTCGCATTTATAATATTAGTAAGAAGTAAGATGGGATAAGATTATACCCTGAAAAATGTCAGATTCCTGATGGACTCGTCTATTAACTCCATATGTATTTATTTACGTATTTCCTAGAGAGTTACCAGAAGAGTATATTATAATGCTATTTTTACGAAATTATGCAGTTTCTTGTCTGCTAAAAGGCTACTTCAGACATCCGTGGTGTTAGAATTTCAACGACATATAATAGCTACCAGAAGAGTATCCCGAAGGCATAGACGTCGACCGCCGCGTCGTAGTCGCCGTGCAGCAGCTCCGGCGCCATGTGCACGGGCGTGCCCACCACGGAGCCGGAGATGAGCGCCTCGGCGGCGCAGAAGCCCAGGTCGGCCAGCGCCGCGCGGCCCTCGCCGTCCAGCAGCACGTTCTTCAGCTTCACGTCGCGGTGCACCAGCCCCAGCGAGTGCAGGTATCTGATGCCTGGACACTTTCATACTATAGGTTTCATTTTATCTCTTTTCTTATTGGTTTTAAGAGAAAATGGAGACGCATAGCATCTTTTGTGAGTCTCTTCTTTAATTAAGGGTAGGCAACATTTTCAATTGTAGATGACTATGGGCAGGGTCTTTTCGCTTTTTTTGCGAATTCAGGTAGCCGTTCGCTCGATTGTCGATTCGACGCGGGTGAAATCGCGAGCAACAGCTAGTAAACGGTAGACGGAGAAGAGCATTTTATGGGAGGCATATGTAAGAGCTACATCCTGTGGATAGGCAGTGTGGTGATGGTGACAACTGACCATCAACGATATCGCAGGCTATCCGGATGCGCGCGGCGAAGCCGAGCCCCGCGCGCACCGCCGCGTGCAGGTCGCGGGTGTAGCGCGCGCACACCAGCAGCACGCCCGGCGCGCCGCCCCCGCCCCCGCCCCCGCCCCCAGCGCCCCCGCGCACCACCAGCGACCCCAGCAGCCGCACCACGCGCGGGTGCTCCGGGATACTCCTGCAGTTCACATTCTTTATCTTTTTTTTTATAACATAAGGTGGCAAACGAGCAAGCGGCCACCTGAATCCGCCAAAATGGCGAAGCGACCGCTGCCCATAAACATCCGCAATTGCAGATGCGTTGCCTGCCCTTATCCGACAGAGGAGAAGACGCACATAAAGAGGATTTCCCCTTCCTATGCATCTCCTACACCGTCAAATCCACTTCCTCTTCCCAACCTCTCCTTATAAGAAAAGGGTGGTAAAGAGTAAGGGACTTAAATGAGGCCTCCGGCACCACACTCCTCAGTCTGTACACGGAATTGCTTCCACTTGACGGCTGTCTGTGTGGTCGTGGTATTCTGTGGGGGTGTGCCGGCCCTGCACTGCTAACATGTTAAAGCGGGCACTACCACTGTTGGTAATCTTCATACTTATACGAAATAATGTTGTTTGTACTCTACATTGCTGAATGGATCTAGAATTTGGCATTCATGTAGTCTGAAGAACACATATGATGATTTTTTTAATATCATATGAACGGAATCATTGGCAATAGATAGTTATAAATATTGAACAAACATCTTAAACTATTAAACCGATTTAGACAAATTATTTATTTGATTCGTCTTATTCATCAAAGTGACGTTCAAAAATTCAAATATTTAAGAAAAATATTAAAAAGCAGTCACAATTTTTGAGATAATACCTGGTGTAGAAGAACTCCATGGCGAGGTCGTGGTAGTGGCGCTCGTCGGCCGGCAGCACGGACTTGACGGCGACGGGCGCGCGCCCCGCCCACGCGCCGCGCCCCGCGTACACCACGCCGTACTGCCCGCGCCCTGCGACCAGCCATACACACATACACACAACCTCGTCTCCTTTGTGGAGGTAGAGGACCTCCATACCTATCATTTATACGCAGTTCGTTGCCCGATTTTCTATAGTTTTGAAATTACTTCATTTTTTGAAAAAAAAAATCGGAAAAACCAGATTTCCAACTTAAATTTGACCATACGTGCAATGTATTTACACTGATCATTTTTTTTCTTTAACAAACTTAATAATTGGGATTTTGTACCGTTATCCCTTTTTTGGAATATCTCACACAGAAACTAAATAAAAAAATATTGAAAATTATCTTAAAACAAAATTTCTCTCTTTAACTTCAAGAAGCTGTAATTATTTTTTTTATACCAACTTTTTTCCAACAAGTTTTTTAAAAACTGCGCCCATACCTGAACATAAAAACGTTTCTCCTTTCGTTTGTTTCTTATGTAAAAAGAACGATTTGAAATAGTCGAAGGCAACAATCTATTGTTACTTTCATAATTAAATAAAAAAAATTGCTTTCTCTTGCCATTACATCCACTGAAATTAAAAAATAAAAGTAGTCTGTTTATTATTCTGTATGTATTATTCAACACTATCCTATACTTCTATGCTAGGTGTTATCTATTCAGCAGTTTAGGCTACTATATTTAAGAAGCTTGTAAAAATTGGGTTTCTAGTATATGATATCTGTAATGGCTGACCACTATAGCTAGGTAGTACCAAATACGCTTAACATTTACAAGGTAATAAAGAGTTTTCTTACCAATCTCCCTTCCCAGGTCCGGCATGCCGTGCATCAGCAGGTCGCACATGGAGGTGCTCTCCAGACACAGCCGGGCTAGAGCCGGCGCGTATCTACATACAGACAGACAAATATACAAGCCAGGGGTAGTATCATAGAAATTTAAAATTACATAGAGAAGGTATAGTTGACACTTCACTTGAACCTCACTAACGCCATCTATTAATAGATCCTCAAGACCACATGTTAATATAATTTATTGTATTTAAAATAATTGCCTATTTAAACAAGGATCAGTTTGTTTTATAACAAAAGATGGAGCTTATAATATCGTAAAATCATGCTAATATTATAAATATGAAAGTTTAGATGGATGGATGTTTGTTAGAGTTTGTAGTCTATACGGCTGAAAGGATTTCGATGAAATTTGGCATAGATGAAGAGGATAGTCTGGAAGAACACATAGGCTACTTGGTTTTGTTTTTGTCAATACCACACGTCAAAGTCACAGGCGAAAGCTAGCAGTACATATCAGAGAAAGTACCGGTGAAAAATTGTTCGCTGTCTCAAATATATTACTTAACAATTAAATGCATGTTTTTTAAAATAACACAAATTTAAACGGGTAATAATTTAGAAAGATTTTTTTTTAAATAGTCTATTGTGTAAAGAAGAAAAGACTTATGTATGCATCATCATGCATCTCATCATCACTTCCTCCTTATCCTACTCCTATCAGATTTTTGTCCTCCACGTAACTATCATCCGTCATCTCAGTCATCACTCGCATCATGTATTCAGGTGTGAGGGGATACCGACTTCTTCCTGATGGAGAGCTTGACATCCTCGGAGTGGTGCAGGCGGCCGGCCAGCGCGCCCTGCAGCGCCGCCAGCGCCGACTGGTACTGCTCGTGGGCCTCGCGGAGACGCTCCACGATCTTTGATAAAACATTTTTTACAGGCTTTGTGCAAAGCTACTAGTCCCTGTCCAAATAGCGGCTGATAGAGGCTCAGATAGCTTAAAAATGACGTCACAAACAAAATCCGATATTTCCAACACATTTTACACGCTGGATTATTGTCAGACAATCTACAATATGGTGGGATAGGCCCTAACAGCCCTAACAAATTCATGTAATTAAGTCTAAAACATTATACAGAATTATAATAATAAAGCATCTAATCCAGAGAAAGGTCCTACATGGCCCCACCCACCCTCAAGGTCACACGGGAAAGTAAAGAAAATAATTACTGGACCTTTAATATTGTATTAATCCAGTCCAGGTCCAGTTAATATTTTAACTCTTTCATGACATTATTAAATAAAATTAAAATACAGTAAAAAAACACTTTCTAGTATGTATACTAGTATATCTTACCAATGGTATAAATGCGAAAGTTCAGATGGATGGATGTTTGTTAGTTTGTGGTCCAAACGGCTACACAGATCTCGATGAAATTTGGTATAAAATTAGAGGAAATTCTGGAAGAACAGAAAGGCTACTCGCTTTTGTTTTTTTTTTCTTAATTCGACGCGGACGGAGTCGCGGGCGAATGCTAGTTAATATTATAAACGGGAAAGACTTGTATTTTTGTATTTGAAATAACTCAAAAACTACTGGGCCGATTTGAAAAATTTATTCACCATTAAAAAGCTACGTTATCAGTGAGTAAGATGGGCTATATTTGTTAACTAAAGGCAGGCGTATACCTGTGCGGAGATGATGCGCGCGAGGCGGTGCGGGTCCAGCGAGCGCGCCGTGTGCCGCGCCGCGCGCCGCCGCCACGCCGGGCTCAGCACGCAGCACGCGCCCGCGCCGCGCCCCCACTCCCCCACGCCGCCTCCGCCGCCGCCCCCGCCCAGCCGCAGTCTGCACACATACACCACTTAATCCTCGACTATACACAATTTAATATCTGAGCAACAGAAACATATTTAAAAAGTCGTCTTTTGCAAAATGTCAAAATCTGCTATCCATAGTCATTTGTAGCAAATGCTCATACACAGAAAGAGAGTATTACCTCTATCTGTGTGTCATCCCCGTTAAGTCCATCCTTTCCTAAGTTTTGCTTATAAGAAAAGAAAGATAAAGTAAAAAAAGACTAAAATGATATCTCCAACAATGACATTGGTCAATCGAAGTAATGAATCATTTTCACTTCACTCATATATTATATGTAGAATTACACTAAAGGAGGAATAACTAGGCCTTAGCTTTAATTTTGAATTTCTTCATAGATGTGTAGGTTGTATGGTTTCCTGTACTGTACACTAACAGTAAGATGTTTGTGGGAAGTGTATCGTGTACGTTGGAGCACTGACTTGTAGCAGAGCGTGCGCAGCGCGTGCAGCAGGGAGGCCAGCAGCGAGAAGGAGGCGGCGGGCTGCAGGCGCACGTCGCGCGCCGCCGCGCACAGCTGGCGCACCGCCGCGCTGGCCGCGCCCGCCGCGCCCAGCTCCGCGCGGCAGCTCGCCTCCAGCGACTGCACGCATCTGTCATTCCGTCCGATTTACTAGCTGCATCTTGTCAACTACGGGGCGAACTATGCTTGGCTTGTTCGCACATCAATAGCATCAGCGAAGATGTAGGCTGGAATAGGCGCTGGAGTGGCCCGACGGCGAAGGTGTTCATATCTTGTCATGCCCATTTGTGGGAGAATGACACAACACCAAAGAACGGACGAAATATCTTGTAGGAAGTCAAGAAGATGTGTGCGGAGCCGAAACCGGCCAAACCGCGCGCCCCTCCCGCAATTCGGCCCGTATGACCCGAGGGTCGGTGGGGCCATGGGTGGTGGTAGGCTGTTGCACGCATCTACACACACCCCGCCGATACAAAAGTGTACGCGACTCCCATCATCAACTTGTCCTTATCCCTGCTCAGGGTCCACAGTATATGCTGCTCTTCCATTCCAATACATTCCCTTCTTAAGCATATCCTCTATCACAATATCCATACATTCTTTGGTCTTCCTCTACCTTTGTAGCCACTACATTCAAACACTTTTTCGTTTATGACCCAATTCCATTCGCATAACATGTCCATACCACGCTAACCTTTTGCTTCTCAATTTCTCCACCACTGTTACTTTCAAACTTCCTCTAATATACATTATTAACTTTATCCATTCTTTTTACACATATCCGCAACTTTGGTGTCCCAACATTCAGATCCATACGACAGTATGTAATGTGTACGAGACTTCGACCGAATGGTATTAATACTTTCGTATTAAAAAAAAACTTACACTGCTACACTGATTTTTTTATATTACCTTCTACCCCATTGACATCTGTTAAAATACATTTACAAGTTGACGGAGAAAATGGGTTACATAACTGGATATTGACAAATCTTGTCTCATACGAAGTCGTGAACTGGCATGTGTGAACCCATTATGCCAGTAGCTGGCATACAAGTCTACTATACCTATGTAGTATAGAAAAAATATAATACATGTTCTTAAATTCAATTTTATATATCGATGTTCGGAATTTTTGAACCAAAGATACAGGATGTTGTTTTTAATGATGTATTGAAATGCAGCTATTTACCTCTGCAAGGTGCCGAAGTAGGAATCCTTCAAGCAGTCCACGAAGGTGACCAGCTTGGAGCTGATCTTGCGGCTTAACTTCGAAAGAACTGGAACAATCAATTACATATTTAAGTAAACAATCTATATTAATATTATAAAATTGTTTTGTATGTATTGAAAAAACTCAAAAACTACTGGGCTAATTTCAAAAATTCTTAGACCATTAAAAAGCTACGTTTTGGATGAGGAACATAAACATCTATATTTTTTGTTATTTTTTAATTTTGCGCAGAAAAAGTCGCGAGCAACAGGTAGTGTACTTAATAAAAAATCTAAAATCAATCAAATAAAGATTGTACGGGAGTTTAATTTCACACTTTTATTGATTTTTAAGTATTTCATTATTTAGATTCTTACCAGTTTGTTGGACATCCAGTGAAGCTTGCTTGATAGATATATTGGTGGTGTTCGTGCAGACGGTGACATTCGAGACATTGGTGGCATGGCTGACATTGGTGGCATTGCTGACATTGGTGGCATTAGTGACAGTGGTGTCAACAGTATTATTCCAGCCGCGCTCTGTGCTGGAGAGGGACAACTCATTCTCCACTCTGATCATACCGATTTGTGACACCAGAGATGTCTCATCTTGACTCTGTAATAAAATAAACAAACAAGTAATAATAAAAATAAATTAACTGTTAAGTAACATGGACAGATAATTAAACTTGACTAGCAGAATTATCGTTAAAAAAATAAAATAATCGCTGACCAATGACATATTTGTACAATCATCCCAATATATCAAATGAAAAGACTTGACAAGTAGAATTTATTACACCATGTATATCCAAGATGGCCGCCACTCACAAAATGGCGGGTGTCTATGATTTCTAATAGCGTAGAAATTGAAAATTATAAAGTAAAATGATGTTTTAACACACAAATCTATACTATTATAATAAAGCGTAAACACACACTTCTTTGTTGCCTAAGATATCGGCAATTACACCATATTTTTGAACAATACTTTTTTTAATAAAAAGCCCTACTCTTTACGTCACGCTTTAGGCTATATATTTTCACGACATTAAACTTAGGGGGTAAATATTTTGGTAAATAAACCGAATGTGGGAAAGAGACCATAAGTTGCTGCCAACATCAGGAAAGCAAGATTGCTAAGGTTTGTCATGTCATGTCAATGACATTTGTCAAATTATAATTTGACAGATGTAAACAATAAAAAAAATATAATTTCATGCGGATGAAGCCGCACGGGAGCAGCTAGTGTCTTAACATAACACACTTTATCCTACTTTTTTAGTCTGTCTCTCTCTCTCTCTCTGAAGTTTTTTTCTGTCTCTAACTAAAACTGACCTTAGGTGTTGTATAAGTGTCGCTGCAAGTGAGGCTCTCATCATTGGAGTCAATAATCTCGTAGTCTTCAAAGTTGTAGGTGTCGTAGGAGAGCGCCTCCTCCACGTCGGAGGGGGGGTGGGGGGGTGCGAGGTCGCGGAGGGAGGCGGTGGGGCTGCTCTTAGAGGAGTAGAAGATGGAGTTGGAGAGGACGTAGCGCTTATCCTGGTGACACGGTAAATCTGGAAACAAATATTTTATAACTAAGCCGTTGCTATTGACTTCGCCCGCGTGAAATTTAAAATATAACCTAGGTAGTTCACAGATAAATTACCTTTCTAACAGTGAAAACATTTTTAAAAGCAGCCGAGTAGTTTTTGAGTTATTTCAACACATAAAAAATAATAAATACACAAATTCATACACCTCCTAAGTTTAAAAGCGTGAACAAATATAACCTATAACTTGTTCATAAGCATAAGGTTTTTTTTATTAAAAAGAGAGTTACTACCATACAGTACTCTACATCTGTACCAAATTTCATTGAGATCCGTTCAGCTGTTTAGACTACAAAGTCTAACAAACATCCATCCATCCATCTAAACGTTCGCAATTTTAATATTAGTATGACTTTCGATTTGATGGAGCAAATATGTAAAGGGGAAGTGGGGGGGAGGGGTGTTACCATCAACACTCCAGTCCATATCATCGAGCTCTGTCTGCAAGTCCTGCAGCACCTCCTGCATCAGCTGCACCAGCTGCTGCTGCTTCTCTCCTCCGCTGAACTTCTTGCTGATCACCTGCACTGTCACAGCTTGATATTATAAGGTGGCAAACGAGCAAGCGGCCACCTGAATCCGCCAAAATGGCGAAGCGACCGCTGCCCAGACATTTGCAGATGTCTACCCTTAATCGATGGAGGAGACACGCATAAACAGATCCCCCTTCCTATGCGTATTCTCCACCGTAAAATCCACTTTTCTTTCCCATTCTTTCCCTAAGTAAAGGATGGAATGAAAAAGGGACTAGAACTAGGTCTCCGGTACCACACTCATCAGACTGTACGCGGAATTGCTTCCACTTCACGCTTATCTTCTATGTGGACGTGGTATTACAGTGGCCCTGGAGTGCGAACATGTTAAAGTGTCGTGAAGCCAGTGGCCGTGAGGGCTGACCTCGTACAGCTGCTGCTCCTGCCGCGCCACGTACTGTATCTTGGTGGGCAGCACCTGCAGCTCGCGCGCCAGCTCGAACGATGCCAGGATCAGCTGCTGCAGTAGACGCACGTGAACCTGAACAGCCACGAGGAGTCAATAGTCTAAGTAGCCTAGGTGTTCTTCCAGGCTATGCTTTACATCTGTACCAAATTTTATTGAAATCCATTGAGCCGTTCTAAAGTTCCCTTCTAACATCCCTCCATTTAGAATTCCGTATTTATAATATTATGAAGATACTAGCCGTTGCTTGTGACTTTTTCGACGTGAAATTAAAAAATAGTTATAAAACACAGCTTATGTTACTGAGCGACAACGTAGATTTTAATGGTGAAAGAATTTTTAAATCGGCATAGTAGTTTTTGAGTTATTTCAATACATACAAAAATACAAATCTTTATAATATTAGTATAAATAACAATGCTAGATTCTAGCAACACAGAAAACAAGAGTAAAGTAGCGCAAGGTACACAATAAAATTATAACCAATCTTCGCAAGTTCGATGTAAGATAATTGGCGTAATCAATATTCTTTCCGCCAATCAGAGACCACGACGTGACGTAGGTCGCTTGTCATTGGTTGATTGATATCTGTACTTACCTCACTCAGTCTCGTGCAATATTCCAACAAGTAACTCTGGGAGCAATCAGTCGCAAACTTGAGTACTGCGTTAACAAAACTCTGTCGGCTCCGTATCGTCCTGTCGTTGTCGTCACGTCGCCGTCTCGTCGACGTGTCGCCGGCGTCGGAGCACTTGGAGGTGGAGGCTTTATCGACTACTGAGCGCAGAACCTCGCCGTCATCTAACACCACCCATTGACTTTTCGCATGGTACTTCGATGGCGGACCGACTGGAAAAAAGTCATCTATTCCCATCTCATTCTTTCTCTATCAGTTGTCTCTTGCGTAGTTGATGACGTCATAATGCTAGTTACTCACACATCATGTCCCAGTGGTCGAGTAGTTCGTTCATGAACGCGATCTGAGACTCACGACGACGCTGACTTTGCTCTCCAGACCTTACATCACGTCTAAAATAATAATACACACATATAAAACAAAAATTCAAAGAGACAGGCCTAAAATTGATATTTTTTTTTGCTTTAAAAAGCTTTATACCTTAAAACACCGTCTTGTATCAAAACTTGATCAGATTCTGGCAGTTCCTCAGTATTGAATCTATCTTCAGTAGACTCGGTCGCCTCCACGCAGAGATGCAACCTCTCCTCTACTTCTTGGTTCTTTTTGTTCTCTTCTGCGTCCACGCTGTCCGAGAAGAGAACGAAGAAGACTTGGGCTTTTGGGTTTAGTTCTTTTATTTGGTGAAGATCGAGACAGTTCTGTAAAACAAGAAATAAAAAAAATTATCCATTCATTCTTTCTAGATTCATTTAATTAATTGTATTAGTAATTACCTCAGCAGTGAAGACGGCGGCTTCATCACTGACCAGCTTCACTTCATCACCGCAATGTTCACCTTCACCATCACCGTTCCTATCGCCTTCACTACTCTCACTGCGCGTCATGTAGTACAAATTGAATGTTGACCAGAAATCTTCTTCACTCCTAGCTGCTATCCTGCTCGCAATTATGTTATCACTGAATATATTCTGTCCCGTTCTGTCCACAGCATATAGATATATGGGAGTGTAATTCTTGAACACGGAATCCCTCTTGTGATAGAGCTCTGAATGTATTTGTTTGAGGCTGAGATAGTGCTCGCCGGCAGTCTCCGCGGCGATGTCTGCTGGCACTATGATACGAAGACCGTCTTTTAGTATCGGATTGTTCAATTCCACTTCTAGCATTGTTGCTAAATCTGCGTTATCTTGACGTAGTAAATCCTGGAATTAGAAGACAAGAATTTAAAATGAAATTGTCATTTAGAATGAAAATATCATGTTAATCTTATGTAAAGACCTGCAAGGGTATAGTTTCCCATGGGCGCTGGTTGCACTCCAGGTCCTCCACCAGCTCGAACTCCGAATTGCCGAGGGTCAGGTGCACCTGTGTGCTGCTGCCGTACTGGATACACAACTGCAAATATACACCGTAAACTGGTAAAGTAAAAAGATAAAAAGTGAATATCAACATCACCTTGGCTATTTAAGATTCTTCTTAACTTCGGATACTTTTTACTACTTACCCATCGGCAGCCCCTGGGCATGGGGTCGGGCAACAGCCGCCTACCCAGTAGACAGTGCAGTAGACGAGCGCGAGCACTCCCTGACCCGCCCAGCACCACCAGCGCTGTCGGCCTCGAAGACTCGTTGCTTATATCTTGCACCGCCGACGATATCTTAGGGTCTGCAATATCGTTAGGACATTTCAGACATTTAACATGTATGTATAACACACTTAAAGACGTATAAACCATCATCATCCACTTGCCCTTATCCCTTATGGAGGGTCGGCACAGTATGTGCTGCTCTTCCATACATCTCTATCAGCCGTCATATCT